ATGAAACTCTCCTTCATTGCTCCATATGTTGCCACAGGGAGCTCAGGCATTCAAAGAAGCAACAGTCTAATTTCTCTTCTCTGACTTCTCATAATACTTACTATTGGCATCACACATTTTATCCCTCAATATAACTGGGGATATTCTTTCATAAGCATTAAATACTTCTAGAAAAATTTAAGCCACTAAATATGTGTAAAATATGAAAAAAAAAACGGCCCAATAAAGATCCCTGGCTGCTTTGTTAATTCAAGAAAATAAAAATGTGCTTCACTTAAAAGTATCATTTACGCAAGTAATAATTATAAATCTCTATTGAGTTTGCCTTGAAATGCTTTCAATTCTAGTTCAAATACTGTACAAGACTCTGACTTTTAATGAATCTAAATCAATTAATTTTTGAAAGCTAGTCGAGAGCAAAAAGGACAATTGAGAACAGAAAAATCTTTCAATGAAAAAGATTTAAAGCAAAAATCTTCATTATCTTAGTATACTTCTCAGTCCTAGTGATACGAAAGTCACTTGATTTCAATAATAAATATTGGAAGGAGATGAGGAAAGGAAAAAGTGTTATTCATTGCAACTTTGTCAGGTGGCGTTCCATCTAATTAGTTCCACTTTCAAAACTACCTGATTGAGTCATTCTCCACAGACAAGTTCTTATTGTGTTTTGAAAACACAAAGTTTGCCCAGACTTTTTACATGGGAGCTTTATTCCTTTGTAAGGAGATAATTTTAAAACACAAATTATAATCATTCACATGTTGCAAAAAATAAAGTGAAACAACAAAACTGGGGAGTCCGGGTAGGGAAAGGAAAATATGTTATGCAGAATCCCATCCTATAAACCTAACTCAGCAGCTCCACCAGGTGCAGTTCATTGTGTCAGCTTTATCCTCAATTCCTTTTCGTGCAGAGCTTTGAATTCTAATAATCTGCAACAACATGATTTGGAAAACATTCTCCACGTTGATAAAGTTATTCACTCTTCTACACTCTGCACAGTGAAAACGTTTATTACAACAATTCCACACCACAGTTGCAGGCTTCTCTTTCTTCTTGCTTCTCTGGGACAGAGAAGGCACAACATGACCCATTTTCTGTCTCATCCTCACTTGAGTTCACCTATGGATCTGCTGCAAGACATCTGATTTCGTGATAGAACTTGGGAAACAATGTGGTGTATGTTTAAGGTCTTCTTAGGAAGACAACACTTACTCATTGACCTCAAGATAAAAAGTCAACAAAAGTAAACCCTCAAACAAATAACATTAATTTTTCCATTTCCTGAAAGAGGAAGTGTGTCCTGAAGAACAAAACAGTTGGATGAACCTTTATGAGGTTTACTGTACGACTTCTGCATAGATGTACAGATTAGATTCTTTGAAGAGTTTAATAATAAAATTTTTCTGTTATATCATTTGCAGTTTAAAACACGTTCTTTTAAAAATCTGTAAGCCCTAAGCTTTCCTGAAACAAACAAGGCTTTAATTTTTCTATTTCATCATATCTGCACTCTCTACTTCACAACATCAGGGTGGGAGCAAGAAGACATGTACAAAATCAATCACAAGGGATAACTATCCTTGCAGCTCTCCAAAGGATCTAGGCCAGTGCTGGACACACTGTTGGCATTTCTAAAAAATGTGAAACTAGGCAAAACACATGAAACCAAGCAGGTGAGGGAGGGAGAAGGCATCTGTTCATTCACTAAATTTATATCCTGTGCCTACTTTAGCTTAAGCATTACCCCAAACATTGAGGGATGGAAGGGTAAGCAATAAGGACACAGTCTCAGCTTTGAGGCAAAAGTGTGTCTGAGAGAAGAGATGGACACTAATCCACTAATTATAATAGCTACCATAACTGAGTAATAGAAGTACTTTACAATATAAAGGAGGATCTATGCTACTCTGGAATTACAGAAAGCAAGGAATGTTCCCTGGGACATATGAACTAAGATTTCAACGGGAGTTGGAGGAGTGTCATGGGCATTGGCAAAGGCCCAGAGAAGAAAGTGATGCCCTTAGTTGGAGTACAATGGACAACGGGGTTTTGGAGAGGAAGATGATGAGGTCTGCAGATGTCAAGTCTCAAGGCTCTCAAGATAAGACAAAAACTGGATATTGCAATGAAATGAGAAGCTTGTGATAGCTGTTAAGAAGGGAATTGTCTGATCAGATTTCAATTTCTAAAACATCGTTCTATTTCTTGAAGAATGATTGAGAGACAAATATGGATTAAGGAACAGTGAGAAAGCTAGTGCAATAGTCAATAAATGTTGGTGGCACCAGAATAAAAAACTTATGAAAGGAAGATTGGATCCAATGTGTACACACTCAGCTTGAGAGGTCTTTGACCAAAACATAGATGTTCAAAAAAATACTATAAATAAAAGCTTGAAGTTTAACCAAGAAAGCCTGAGTTGAAGATGTTCTTTCAGAGCTCATCAGTACAGAGATGCAAGTTGAAGCTATGAGAAGATACTAGGTCAACAGAGGAAAAATCATAACAAGAGTAGGAGGTCAAGGACAAAGCCTTAAAGAGAGCTCCAATATTTAAAAGAAGATCTAATTCTACCATCCTGTCACTGTTGAGAAGAGGGGCAAAAAAGGAAAGTTAAAACTGAAACAAAACAAAACAAAAAAGACAACAGAAGGAAAAAAACCAGTAAGTGCACTGTAATGGAAACCAAAGGAAGAGAATATTTCAAAGAGAGATTGATTACCCTTGACAAAATGAGGAGTAAGACGGTCCTCTGCATTTACTAATTAAAAAAAAAAAGTTTGTAATAACCAAGAAAGAATTCTGCTTACATTATAGAGCAAGCAAAAATGAAGATTTAGTAGACCAAGGAATGAGAAAGAGAAGGGAGTAAGATGATACCTATCCTGTGATTTCTGAGTTTAACTGCAAAGAAAATCAGAAAATAGAATAAAATTGGTTGCTGAGAGAGGTGTGAGATCTAGAACACATTTCATTTTCAATGCAAAATAATAAATATATAAAGTCTGATGAACAGAATTTGAATTAGAGACAAGAGACAGAGTAAAGAGGAGTGAATTCCCTGCTAGCACATGGAAGGGATGGCTTTGATAGGAGATGCAGACACAAGAAAGACAGACAGATATGCAGGCCTAGTGACAAGAAAAAAAGCCTGTGTGACCACACCTATTTCCAACATGAAATAGGGGATAAGATCATGTTTGGAAGTTAGCCAAGGTGAGTCAATACTGTAATTTAGATATGGTTTAAGTGTTCCCAAGACTTTAGGAGTTGATAGTTAATCCCAAGAGGCTGGTGCAGTATTGTAGCAAGTTAGTCCTCTGCCTGCAGCATCAGAATTCCTTATGGGCACCAGTTCAAGTCCCAGCTCCACTTCCAATCTTGCTCTTTGAATATGACCTAGGAAAGAGCGGAGGATAGGCCAGAGCCTTAGGTCCTACATCCACATAAGAGAACTAGAAGAAGATCCAGACTCACAGGTTCAAATCTCTTCTCTAACTCTGATTTTCAAGTAAAATAAATAAACCTGGATGGATGGATGGATGGATGGATGGATGGATGGAAGGAAGAGAGGGAGGAAGGGAGGGAGGAAGGAAGGGAGGGAGGGAGAGAGGGAGGAAGGGAGGAAGGAAGGAAGGAAGGAAGGAAGGAAGGAAGGAAGGAAGGAAGGAAGGAAGGAAAAGGAAGGGGGAAAAGGAAAGGAAGAATTCAACTGCAATCAGGCATTCAGAGGGTGGAAACAATCAAACTCAAGTGTTTAGAGGTAAGGTCTTTACAAAGCAAATTGAGTTTAGATAAGGCCATTATGGTAGAAATACCATGACTGAATCCTAGCGACTTTATAAGCAGGAGAAACATACACAGTATACACATGTGCTCCTTGTCTTTTTTACATGATGCACCACCTTGGAACTCTATAGAAAGAAGACCATCACCAAACATAGCCTGTTGACCTTCCTTCTCCAGATCCATGAGCAAAATGAACATATTTTCTTTATAAACCTGCCCCAGGTATTATGGCAGTCCCTAAAATGGATTAACAGAGTAAAGAGATAAGAGTTTGACAGAAGTAACGAATATATTAAATTGTTACTAAGAAGAATGTAAATTTCAGAATGTGTTTAAGGCCTGGTGAAAATGTGACCCTGACTTTTTACATGACATCTATCACTTCAGTAAGGATGAAGTCATGGGAGGAGTAGAAGAAAGCACAAGGGAGGCTCCAGACCCAAACCCAATACCTAACCCCTCAACCTCTGCTCTCTCCAACTAATGTATTATATACCCCCCAGAACCCTTCACATTTAATTAGGGGACTTGATTACTCACTACATAATCACATACTAACAAATTCCTATATGGTAACTCTACGTAACTTTATACTCTCTCTACCCCTCCTACCTTTGGAATGTCCTCATGCTGTTCAGTAAATAATTTAGTGAGTAATTCCTAAATAAACTGAAGCATCTTCTAAGCCATCGAGTAAAGAACCCACAATGTTCCCTTCTGGTTTGTGATCCCCTGGTAGACATGAGGTAATCTCAATTCTACTCATGGGATGGCTTCGAACCTGTAGTTTTAGAGTGATCAGTGACAGCCTGGTGAAAAATGATGCATAAGAGAAAAAAAGAGGAGTGAGGTTGCCATCCACTTCTGGTGAGGAAACAACATCAGCTGTGATCATTCTCATTACTCACTCTGAACCATCTTTCTCTACCCATTAACATAACCCAAGACCTGTGCTGAATGCATATAAGCTGTTCTTAAGGTGTTGTCATACAAGACTCCATGGTGAAATCCATATAGCATCTGAAGAACCAAATATCAGAGTGCACATCTAATGGATTATCTATCTCCTGAGTTTGGATTCAGATTGCAAATTGTTGCTGCAGTTAGAATGTTTTTCTGATATTAGGGAAGAGATAAATAGGAACAAAGCGAATAGAGAAAAGAAAACATCTCCTTCAGATTTCATTAATCTGTCATGTTCTTACCTTTGCAGCCAATCGACACTCCATCACCCTGATGTTGAAATGGGAAGTTGCAGCTTTGTTCATTTCCACACAACTATTGGCAATCACAAACACTGCTCCACTTGGGAGTTTAACATCAGTTGCTCTCAGGGGACTAAATTCTATCAACTTGGCCTGTGGGAAGAAAAAGTGGTAGGGGAGATATATTAGAATTGAGAAAGGTTTAATCATATATACTTATCATTTCAACAATATCATTTTCTTAAAAATGCATTCACTTATTTAAATATACTATTGACTTCTCAGCACTATATTAAGTACTGGAGATACAATAATGAAGAAGATAGACAACAATGACCCTGCCCTCTCAGTGCCTGCAATCTAGTGGCATAGACAGTTAAACAGATGAGTACATTTCCAATAGTGCCAAAAGATAAGACACTGTACAAACAAATTTCTGATCAGATACAACCTTGTCTAATTTCTTTTCAAAAGGGAAAATTTAAACCAAGTCCTAATGGAAGAAAGAGTTGAAATTGGGCAGACATAGGGGTCTTTCTTCAAACAGAATGTGAAGAAGAGGCAAGAGCTTATGTGAAACCAGAGGTGACAAACAACATGGGTGCTAACTAAGCTTTGTGTATTGAAATCTGGCTGGAGCTAAGAGTCTGAGGAGTGATAGATGGCAAGAGACTATGATAGAGTAAAGCAGGATTCAGATGCAAAGCACTCTGCAAATCCCAAGAACTTGAAAACTGTACGTTAACATCAACACTCTGCTTGTTGAGTCTCATCCAAAATAGCCACAATACTTTCTCAGTGTTAAATCAAACTTTCTCTAACTCCTGTTTTTCACTTAGGAAATCTAGCTGTTCTGGAAAAATAGCCACACTGAGTGAAATTTAATGAAAAATTAAGAATTAACAAAAAATACTGTTTCTATTTTTGGAAATGGGTAGTTTATAGACAGTAACTAAAATCTCTGCTCTACCTAACAGAGCTGATGGCCAAGGGGAAGTGGTCTTCAGCTGGGGAATTCACTCCTGGCTTGCTTTCAACATTCTTTTTTTCACCATTAAAGCCTCAAAAATGTTGACAGAGAAAAACGATACCAAAGAGTAAATTATAAAAAGAGCAGTTGTGAATATATGTGGTAAAAGAACTAACATTTCGGTTTAAAACCAACATGAGATTAGGAAAACGCAGTGAGATGAGAAGTGATTTAAGACAGAGATGGAAAGGTGGATCCAAAAACCAGGGAACTGAAAAAATATCATCTTTAAAAATGAAGGAAAAACACATGAGAAAAACAGATTTGAGGTATGATTCTGAAAGCTTAATGTAGAGGCAATCAACATGAGACAGAGTAAATTCACTTGTGGTATCCTTGAGTTACAAGGCAACCAGGAAATAACACCCTATAGTATAGCCAAATAAATAAGTGGCCCATAGCCAAACATGCTGGGGTTCTCAAGGCCTTCCTCACTGTGGGGGTTTCTCCAAGCTGATAGTTTCAATTGTGTCAATACCACCTACAGTTCCTTCTTCTGCAAGAAATGATATGGACTGGTCCATGCCTCCTCCTTCAGTGCCAATATAACGTTCACTCTTAGCACAAATTTCTGCAAGTTCCACCTGAAAAAGTAAAAATCCATTTGTAATGTGGGTAGAGTAATAATGTATTTCTCACCCATTTCTTCCTTCAAGCATGACAAAAACAGTACCTACTCTGACCAATGCCGATAGCACTGTTAATAAGGGGAGTAGGCAACAACTGAGCCCAACAGGAAAAGCATCCAGATGGATGAACAACATCTGCTGTGGATACAGAACAGGTACTTACTGTGAGTGCTCTTTGTGCTATTCCTAAAGGACTCCACAGGGCAAGCAGGTCCTCACATCTTTCTTTATACTCCATCCATCTGCAGAGTGGCATTACAAAATATCTCCTCTAAGCTCTCACTCATCCCTACCTCAGCTTCCAATAATGCACTGTCCTATAGTCTTCCCACAGCCAAAGCAGGGTCATTCACCTTTACTTTTTAGCCCAAACTAATGCTGTCCCTCTGACATTTCCATTAAATATAAAAATCAGATCTAGTGTCATCTCACCAAATACTCAAAGATGAAGAAGCCCAACTAACGAACACAGCCCTAATGCAAACAGAAAATTTCAAAATACACATTTGAGAATCTTCAATGGCTTCCTGCTGAATAACCAAACAAGTCTAACCAGCCCAGCATGCCATTTCAAAGCTTGCCAAAGCCTGGGACAAACTTATCTATGTAATTATATCACATATCACTCTTTTTCCAGGTAGATTTGCCTCTTCATCTCATACACACTCCTACAACCTGGTATTATTTCCTGTCCTATCTCCTATATAAGTCCTGTTGCCACTCAATACTCTGTTTATGGATAAGTCTAAATGGCTAGCCATTCAAATCTTCATCATGGAGTCTTAATAAGGTTACCACTGTGATGTCCACTTTTCTCTACACTCAACAACACTTACAATTAGTGCCTATTTATTCATATCACTATTCATCATTTATCTCATCACTCTTGTAAGACTTGTTTCAGGCCCTTATTTCTCAATTGTTTCACCAGAAGTCCCTAGAGTCATTATTCTGAAACACTAACATACTGTAATCATCTCTTGCCTGGTTTCTAACACCTTAATGCTTATACTCTTCAGCAGTCATAAAAGGCCTTTAATTCCCTTAACTCTTGCTTCTTTCTCCTAACTGCTCTCTCACCACTACTGGCATAAACCTGAAGCTCTAGCCATCAGGAACACTGAACAAATGCTGTTCTTCATCACCCTCAGGCTGTTCTACCTCTCAGTAACTTTACCAACTATGATTTTCTGTCCTCACTCAACATTGTCTTCTGTCGCCAATAGTCAACAACTCAATTCTTACTTCCCCAGGGAGCCCACACCACTACTCAAATGCACAAATGACACATGACTTCTTCTTCAAACTCTATATTGCTAATTCTATTATGATTTATTGAACCATCCATTAAGTGTGGATCTACTTGTCTCATTACCCACTGATCTCTGAGAGTCAATGTTCCTAGACCAGATTCCATTTGATTTGACTAATATGAGCTGAATCACGGTGTTTATTATTGTTCTTTAATTGTTTCATGTGTCCATCACATCTATTTTCCCTCAGAAAAGTCTGAGTCAGAGAGACAGATAAAGTACAGTGTTCTTTTTGTACTGCCTGCTTCACACAATGCTAAGCACGCAGTAAAGACTCAATAAACACCTGCTGCTTTCATTTTCTGAAAATAGCTCCTCAATTACCACCTGTCAGATTCTGCAAGTGTCATATTTCTTGTTGGTCATGTGGATTCACTAACATTAACTTTGCCTAGTGACACGGGGTAAACTTAATATTTTGACGTAATAGACATTGCATGTGGCCTAACACACAGAATCAGTGACCTGTCCATAATAAGAACATTAAAAATAAGTTAGAGACTAAAGGTCAAAACACTTGGATTCAAAACTTAAAACGACACATCCAGATGAAGCAGTATGAGTGGCATGCAGGGAGGGCATAATGAATTTGGGGTACCCAGCTAATTGTTACCCTGGGACAGTGTAAGCATCTCCTCTCCTTCAACAGCAGTAAAAGCCAAAGAACTGAGAGCTGCATGTGTGCCAACTATGCTCAGTACCTGGAATTAGCAATTTTGTGAGACATATTTCCTTTTCACTTCCAAAAACCCTCTGTTTATTACCTGAATACAAATATGGAAATGGAGTGGAGAAGCATAACTGCGAGTAGAGGAGCTTCACTCCAAAGCCTGTGTTGACTCAGAACTTCAATCAGCCCCTTCAAAAATGAAAATAATGTAGCCTGTTTTTCTACTCTCAAAGGGATATGAAAACACTACAGAGAGCCACCAAAATTTAAACAGTCCCATTCTTAAGAGGAAAGTAACCACAGCATTGAGAAGTCTATGTTTATTATTTTAAAAAAATATATAACTGGGGCCAATACTGTAAGCCTATGGGGTGAGCCCACCACCTATATTGCCACAATCCCATCTGGGCACTGATTTCTGTCCTGTTGCTCCACTTTCAATCCAGCTCTCTGATAATGTACCTAGGAAAAACACTGGAAGACAACCCAAGTGTTTAGGCCCCTGTACCCACCCGCATGGGAGACCCAGATAAATCTCCTGGATCTGACTTCAGCCTAAGTCAACCTTGGCCATTGCAACCACAGAAGTGAACTTGCTAATGCACATCTTGGGAGGTAGTACAGCATGGTTCAGGTCCCTGACACCTATATGGGAGATAGGTGGAGTTCCTGGCTTTTGGCTGCAATCTGCCCCAGCCCAGACACTGCAGGCATTTAGGAGTAAATCAGCAGACAAAAGATGGATCTCTCTTTCTTTCAAGTAAAAATGAACATTTAAATAAAATTATTATTGCTGTCAACAAGTATATGGAGAAATGGAAATCTGGAAAACTGAAGTGCTTCAAGGCCATAAAACCAGTAGGCAGGAAAGTAAGGTCGTGCACTGAGATTTGAGGCATTTGATACCCATTTCTTTCGACTACATTTATTTGTAAATATCTCATGCATTTTGGGGGGCTAATTCATCATTGCTTTCATTTTTCAACTTCCTTTTCTTCATCTTCTCTGTCTTTCCCCCGCTTAGAACTTTTGGGTATTATCTGTCCGGTTATGGGACGGAGGCATCTTGAGTCAGAAGAAGTAGCAGCAGGTGGAATCTCCTTGACTCACAGACACTGGGGACTTCTGGATGTGCCTCTGCATTGTATCCAGAGAGACAGACTGGAAAATACAAAATCCTATATCAAACAACTCAGGCATCAAGAAATTTTCTTGAAAATAAGCATATATTACCCAATGTTGGTGAATCCCACTGTTTTTTTTTTTTCACATTTCTCTGACAGAAGAAAGAAGTCATATTATCTCCATTTTTAGATGGATAACTGAATAAATGACACAGTGAATAAATAACACAGGATTTAAATACAATTAGATGAGGTTTCTCTGCTTCTAGTTCTATTTTTGAAATGCAGTTTCCCCACTTGTATTCATATAATCCTGATAGAGAGCTTTTATAGATTTCAATAAGATAATTCTCACAAAATAAGACAATATCAAATGGAAAGACACATTACAATTATTCTGAAATATAGGACCATTATTTAAGTGCTCAGAGAAACATATTTTTCCTATTCTGGATGTGTCCAGAAAAGAGGATTCAGTAGAGGGAGTGTAAGCTTGAGGTAAACGTGCAAGTGTGAGCCTTGTCAAAGGCACTGCAGACCCACTGAGGGGTTATGGAGTCCCTATCCACCAAACAAAACATGCCTGCTGTGGAAAAAAATCCCAGCCAGGCCCATGGGCTGGCTTCCTCAGTGGTCCTAACCCTTCGCGCCAAAACAAAAAGCAAAAAAGATCAAATCCTAATTGGCTATGATGTCTAAAGAAACTAGGAACAAATGTGGGGTTTTTTTTCTTTAAAGCCTTCAAATCCTATTTAAGGAAAAAATCTGGCAACAATCAAAACTGAGTTAGGTCCACAGCCTAAGCAAGAAGTGGCATGACCTGAGCTCAGAAAGCCATTAGTGTGGGAACCTTAACACCCCCAGGATGTGACTAGGACAGTGTCCGGCAGCCCACATGATGCAAGGAAGACATGTGAGCCTGCCCACGCCTTTTCTGTCCTCTGGGACACTAGAAATAGAACCATAAAATGTCCTCAAAGATTCATTATCAGACAGAGTGACTTGCAAATGGACTATATGATAGCTCTACACCTACTGAAGTCATCTAAAATTTCCAGAGATTTCCAGGGAATGGGGAGGAGCTGTCAAGCACTCACTAACAAAAGTGTATAGAAAAGAAGCGTCTCAGAAGTCAGCCCAGCAAATATGGAAATGATTTTGTGGAGCCAATTCTGTTTACCAAGGGACACAGTTCTCTTCGCACCTGATGACCAGGGATTCCAGGACATTCTCACTTTTTACCACCCTAAAAACATACAGACAGAAAATCCACAAGAACCTCAGTTTCCTCCACATGTTAGTATCCATGGCATTTTGATCCTTTCATCTTTCCTTCAAAATACTCATGTTTGAGAGTCACTGGAGACTGCAATTTGGCTATCTGAATTATATGGGAGAATTTTCAAGAAACCAATGAACTGGTGTCTATCCTGACTTCCATCCTCTAGAGAGAAAAGAAAAAATGCACATTATTCATAGACCTTCTTTGAAAGCTACTGAAAATAGTTTATGAAGCTAATGTGACCATTTGGGTGATTCTCTAGAACCAAAAGCCATGTTGGTTTCCTAAATGAAAGAGTTCACCTGTCTGCCGTATAAGAAGAAAAATAATAGGATTAGATTTAATAGTCACTCTGAAGAGCCTGAAGATGCATGAATGCGTTGTCTAGCTAGCTAAACCTGGCTGTCCACAAAAATAATAACAGCACAAAGTGTTCAAGATATGTGAACTTTTATTTAGCAATTTTACTAATGATTGTAAATAAATAAATAAAAGTAGGCTCATAAAGTCCAGCGTCACATACCAGGTTAAGCCTCTACCTGCAATGTTGACATGTCACATGAACT